AACAGACAGGACAGACTTGCAAAGGTCAATTAGCTCATACACACTCTTGGGACTCATTAAGGAAACTTCCTAGTTCCTACTTTATGCATGTACATGGAGCCAAGCTACTTTATCAATTACTACTACAACACTAAAGTGACAAGATTAAGAGAGCCAAGTGTCTTAACCATTCATGCAGTGAAATTTAAATAGCAAGCCAGCCCAGGGCCCTTGTTTATAAAGTTTGTTTAAAACAGCTGCAAAAGTAAGGCTTTGTGGGTTAAACCTCAAGCTACTCTCTAGGCCTCTCTCTCTCTCCTCTTGCTGTTAGCTTGTAGTCTATCTAACAATTTACAAGCATCAGACAACAAAAACTTACAAGTAAAAGGAGGGCTCGGGCTGAGCGTGGTTCGCTTTAGTCTTTTCCGCTGGAGTATGTGTAATGAAGCAGAAGAGAGAATCACAAAGAGATTGACAGAGAGAATAGAGGGTAGGAAGTGAACCAAATAACAACAGTTTACCTGCGCAGTGTCTTTAAGTTTTTGCTGTATACGAAATGGCCAAAGGGAAATTAATCACAAGCTCCACCCAGAAGTGACATGCTATAGCTCTCCAAGATCAATATTATGAATACAAATAAGCTCTTATGTCATTTTCCTGTCGTCTAGGAGCTGACAAATATTGTCTGGCGATGATATGAAATTTAAAATAGTTGTTAGAGTAGTTACTTTGAAGTACCATGGATCATAGGCATGCATGTAGCTGCTACATTGTAGTATCTATATCTGACTATAGTCATGAATGTAAAATTAAATGTAGATCTATGTACAAATAATGTTCCACTAATTATTGTTGTTATAATAGCCATTAATTTTTTGGATTTTACAAAATTTCCTATGAGATAAAAGGTGCTATAATTTATAATTATAATTATTTTAATTAATAATAAATTGAGAGAGTCATGTGATTTCAGTTGATTAGTCAAAATGGCTGCCGACTGAGTCACTCCCTCTTCTTCCCTCTCTTTCTCGCTGCCCAGGCCTGTATTGAAAGCTAAAATGGAAGTTGCACGCCCCAAGAAAAAGACTAAAGCTAAGAAGAAGACCCGTAAAGTCACAGGTAAGATAATAAGCGCGTGTAGCCCCAGATAATATACAATTTTTAGAAGAAAAAGCCAGTGAAAGAGGTCTGGAACAAGATACTTCAGACACTATTGAGGTAAGATGAGCTATAAATCTTTATAATATGCTACCAGGAGACTGCTACCTCTCATCACAGTAGCATACTTGTGCATTTTATTTCAATCTTTTATGGATGATTAGATATAATCCCATGAAGCATAAATGTTTAATAATTATAATAATTATTATCAATTTGATGCATATTAATTTTACTCTCTTGTTTGATCAACAGCACCTCCTTTATGCATCAGTATGATACACACGCACACTTGTGCATGTACATGTAAAGCATTGATTCCTTCATTAGCAGTACAGCATCACCACTTGACCTTTGACTGGAGGGGAATACCCTTAAGGATTTTAATCTCATTAAATTTGAACTCTCCATCTCTCCTTGTGTGTCAATAGCCTCACCTTTGCTTTGTGCAGTACTACACTAATGTAGATTTATGCATCTAATTCTAATACCTGTCTGCTACAAACGAATTTTTATAATTTTTAATGTGATGACAGTTTGATGACTATGCTATATACAGTAAGTGTGTGTAGTATTTTTGCTAAACCATTTTTGGAGCCGTGTGTGTATTTGTGTGTGTTCTGCCAATATCATTTTACTATTATTATTTACATGCACATTGCGTTACATTGTGTATTTAATTGTTATATAAAGTCGCATGTGATTATGTGCATGTACATGCAATACCTGATGTAATGTAATACCTGAGCCCCT